ATCTGCCACCTAATTCTCCTGCGTTAATACATCTTTCCTTCTCCAAAATTCTAAATAACTATTCAGCTGCCATTACAGATCATCAAATACGAAGCCAAGGGCTCCAGCGGTAAGCAGATTTTTAACAAAGCCACTTAACAGGTCAGTTCACCTAAGCAGATTCACAAGCGGCTCAGTAACGGAATAAGTATCATTTAATTTTTTTTCTTTTATCTCCTTCTTTCTTTTATTCCTAGGACTCCTCCCCCACCCCCTAAGTTTCCCCTCTAACCAAACCTTCCAGATCTCTTCTCCCTAATTTCTTTCTCCACTAATGCGATTTTTTGCCTTCCAGCATCCCAGTGACTTCTTCAATCAGCCAGCCCAGCTACTCAGAAGGAAAAACCGGACGGAGGTGACTTCTTCAATCAGCCAGCCCAGAACGCCAGCGGACCAACTGAACATTCCCTGGACCCCTCGACGCCCAAAGTCAGCAGGAAGCAGTCATGAGAGACCGGGCTACGCCCCCATTCCCATTCCCTAAAGACCCCCCCCCCAATTTTAATTTTTTTAATAAACTAAAAAGGTTGGAATGTTATTCCTTGGAAACTACAGCTCCCAGACTTCCCCTGGGTCACCTGCGCGCGCTGGTCGCGCCCAGGTGAAGACCATCACTCCCAGATAACCTTGCGCCCGCAGTTAAAAGCGAGCGCTCCACGAGGTTTCTCTCTCTTGCTCCCTTCCCCCCTTGTGTGTCTTGCACGCCCCGCCCTTATCGTGTTCCCCTCTCCCCATTAAACGCACCCACGTGGGAGCTGCGTGTCTGTCTCTTCCTTTGCGTGCCGTCTATCCCGTGTTTGTCCACACACCCACGCCGCCCCGCCGCCGTTTTTAAGGAATATTATTAATTTAGCGTGTAGACACCATGCCATGCACCCTTAAATGTTCTTGGGGGAAAATGACATTTTCTTACTCCGCCACAATACCATTGTTCACCTACAAATTAGGAATAATCTCCTTATGCTGTCTACATAGAATCAGAACTACCTTTCCCAGTGTCCCGAGGGCCGCATCCATCCTGTTCCTACCCCAGCACCTAGCTGAGGGCCTGACAAACAGATCAATGGGATGGTAATGAGGGACTAGATGAACGCATGGGTGGATGGAAAGCCACGTGGGTTTCGGGGGTGGGGAGGAGATTTGAGCAGTGAATTGGCTGGGCTGGTTGATGCTCTGGGCCCTACCCGCCCCCAGGGTGGGCAGGTCTGGGGAATGGTCAGGGATGGTCTGCTTTGAATGAAACAACAGGAAGGGAGGTTGCAAAGCAAGCTGAAGAGTTCTTTCATGGTATCAGCATGGATGGCCAAATGGTGTCTCTACGCTTTTTCCTTTCACGTCAGAGACAAAGATTTCTTCCCGTCGCTCATCTTCGGTGGCAAGTTATAAGGAAATAAATATGGAAGTTCCTAGAATTTGTGGCCCCTTGAACTTATTTTAAAGATTTATTTAAGCCAGAAGAGGGTCTTGGATCTCCTGGAGCTAGAGTTACTGCTAGCTGTGAGATGGTTATAAGCTGCCCAAACTCAGGTCCACTTGAAAAGCAGCCAGCACTCTTAACAATTGAACCACCCATTTCACCCCCTCAAACTTCTTAGGTGCAGCTGAGACCCAGAAGCTTCAAGGTTCAGCATAACAAAGTCTGTTGGAAAAGCAAGGTTAACCTTCTGTAGAGTTTCACCAATAATGTCCTACCGAGATCTCAGCAGTCCCTCCCATAATGTTCTGAACAAATGTGTCACTTGTTCACATTTGTTAAATGAGCCACTTAAGCCCAGCATTTTCCTCGCAACGGAAGAGCCCGCAGACGACGTTTCCAGGCACGGCTGCTACTGAAGCTTTAACCATAAATTATTGCGTGGGGCTTAATAGAAGGAAGACAAGCTCTGGGGAAGACCTCATGCACAAAATCACCGCGTATATTTGTGGGTGATAACAGACGTAAACACTGATGAGAACAAGAGGTGTGGCAGAGATAAAAGAGCAGGGGGTACTCATTCGATGTCACCGGGAATTCCTGGCACTGGAGCTGCACGGCAGGGGTGCGGCTTCTTCACTCTGGCAGCAGAAAATCCGTGTTAGAGCCATTTGTTTCCTTCCTCTTCCCCCTTTAGCCTTCAAACAGTTCACTTAAATATCTGCTGAATTCACTCCGAGAGGTGCCTTTGCTGTTAGTGAGGTCCGCCCCCCTTCTCCCAAAAGAGTAGCAACTGTTTATGTTGTTCAGAGAAGCTCTCCATCCCCCCAAAATCAAATAAAAGTCCGAAGACACCGTAAGTGAGAGGGGCAGCTTGCCTTAGGCGATGATCAGGCATGATTCGGTATTGCTCCTTATTTGCTCTGGAGAACTGCTAGGAACCTAAGATGTTTCTAATTTACTCTCTCTCAGTCTCTCACACAAAGAATGGCAGGCACACATCTCTTTGGGATGAGTGGGGGCAGATTTCCTAGTTTGTCCAATGGTTTACTTGGCACAGCAAGTGGCTGGGTTTGTATCTTCTGTTCTTTGCTTCTGAGTTTGTCAAAGTCCAGACCAGGAGGTACTCAGCCCACCTGCTTCCAAATCAAGCTTTTGACAGCTACCCACGTCAGCACAGGACACCTACCTACCATTTCTTCTCTGGCTTCAGTTGCCAAGATGTGCCCTCGGCTGGCTGGTTTCCTAGGTCAGCCTTGTTCCTCACGTGTCCATGTTGTTCCACGTGCTCCACACGGGGCTGGATTTCTGGAGGAGGCTTGGCCAGTCCCGCCAGTGTCAGCTTAGCAAACGTGAGGAGTTGGATGCTGGTTTGTAGCTCAGAGGAGGCATTCCAGTAAGAAGAGAGAATCCAATCAGACTGGCAGAGAACAACCTGTGGCTCATGGCTCCGCGCTGGGCCTGATACACCTGCCGTGGCCTGCTCACACGCCTGTGGGACTCGTGAGGTCCTTTCTCTTTCACTATTGTCAGACCAGAAATGCAGTTACATGATAGGGTAGATGCAGAGGAACACTTAAGCCAACTTCACTATTTTCTGAGTAATCTTTTAGAGTTTAGAAGAGAAATGATCGGACTCTATCAGCTCCAAATAGTCTCAAAGTCCTCAGGTAAGGGTCAAGAGTTCAGGTATCGAGGGCGGGCTCTCTAATGAATCTCGACTTTCACCCCGAATGTTTTGGTTTCTATGACTTTATTTTGGTTCTGATCGCCTTACATTTATCTGAAAAACTATAAAGATTGTAATATTTTCACTTCTTTTTCCTGTAAGGGTAAAAGGGTCCCATGCTGCATAAAGAAATCCTCCCTCACTTCCCCCTCCCTCCCCTCTTTTCCTTTTTCTTTCATTCTCTTCTCCCTTTACTCTCTCCTTTTTCTTTCCTTTCCTTCTTCTCAACCCTTCATTTCTTTGGTTATCATTTTCCTGTTATCATTATTCTTCCCTTTTACCTGTCTAATCTATCTATCCATCCATCCATCTACTCATCCATCCACTCATCTATCCATCCACTTACCCATTCATCTATCCATCCATCATCCACCCATCTGTTCATCCATTCGTTCATCTATCTATCTATCTTCCATCTATTCATCTATCCTCTCATCCATCCACTCATCCATCTGTCCATCCATTCATCCACTCCTTTATACATCCATCCATCCATTCATCCATTCACTCATCCATCTGTCTATCCATCCATTCCTAAATTACAGCTCTTAAATTATTAAGAGGAACTTCCTGGTTCTGGTAGTTGGGGATTTAATGAACAGATTCACTCTTCCTTGTTCTTTTACAGGTTTGACACATTTGCATTTGTCTTCCGATATTTGTCCTACCACCTGTGAAAACAAAGGTCTCAAAGCTGCTCACGCCAAGTAATTTCCCCAAATACCTTTAGTATACATTACTTTCTCTCTGTTATCCAATTAATTTCTGATAATACTCAGTTTGGAATTGTATCATGCAAACTTGTTTTCTATTGCTGTTAAAACAATTTACCACAGACTGTAGCTTAAAAGAACATAAATGCATCATCTTAAAGTTCTGTAAGAAGTTAGAAGCTCAAAAGTCTGAATCGGATGTGGGCCTTTGGTCCTCTGTTTCCCTAGCTCCACAGACTGCCTGCATCCCTTGGCTCATGTCCCTCTTATATTCAATGCCAACACAGTAACCCTTTTCTGATCCTGCTTCCATTGTCCACGAATGGGACTTTTGGGTCTTTTCTGGAACTCTATTCTTCTGCCTTGTTCTTCCACATCTGGGGGCTCTTGTGTTCCTATTAGAACCACAGAATAATCTAGAATACATTTTTTGTGTTGTGAACAGTGGACTGGAAATCTTAATTATACTTAAAACTTTAATTCATCCCTGTGATATCCTTCACACATTCATAGGTCCTAGACCTGGCATATGGTTAGGATCCAGTGTGAATGAGTGTAGGGCCTGGGTCTACTCTTGTTCCTGGGGTTCATCTTGAGGACAGTTACTGGTCAGCTAACTAAAACATTCTGTTTGTTCCTGTGCTTCCCCTGCCCTGCCTGGTGATTAGCTAGCTATAGGGCGTTCAGCTGATCTCCTTTCAAATGACCCAGGTCTCTTTGTGTGTTCTTTCAATCTCCAGGCCCTTGCCCGTATGGTACCGTGGCAGGCGAACTGTACCCAGGGGGTAACACAGAGTCGGGTGTTACAAATGAGACTGTTTCCCCAATGTCTTTCTCAACACATTCATTATTGGTGTACAAAGAAGCTACTGATTTTGTGTGTTGGTTTGGTATCTTGCTACCTGTATGCATTTATCTGTTCTAAGAGTTTTCTGGGGGAATCTTCAATCTTCTATGTATGGGCTTTATAACACCTACAGACAGGGATCTTCTACCCTTCCTATTTGTGGCCTTTTTTTCTCTTCTCTTCTCTTCTCTTTTCTTTTCCTTTCCTCTTTCTTTCTTTCTTTCTTTCTTTCTTTCTTTCTTTCTTTCTTTCTTTCTTTCTTTCTCATTAGTAAGGTCTTCAAGAACCATGAGAAAGTGAATACCCCCTGTCAGTCCTGATCTTGGTGGAAGAGCTTTGGCCTTTCCCTCCTCTAATACAGTGCCGGTAGAGGTTTGCCAGAGAGAGCCTTTGCCATGTTAAGGCACAGTCCTCTTATTCTTAGGTTCTTTAAGAATTTTGTCACTAAGGAACATTGGATTTTGTCAAATATCCTTTCTGTGTCTACTGAGATAATCATATGATTTCTGTCCTTGAGTATATTTTATGGTGGTTCTTCAAACAACAGAAGTACCATGTGACCCAATTGTCCCATCCCTGGGGCCATGCCAAAGCCGTTTAAGCTAATGCACCTCGGAAATACACGTGCATCTGTGTTGATTGCAGCACCATTCACAATAGCCAAGTGATGGAACTAGCCAAGATGTCCGCCACCAGGCGGATGGAGGCATTAGGACTTAGACACCGTGAACTCTTAGTCAGCTACTTAAGAAAATGAGATTGTGTTACTTGTGAGCAATGGTGACAATTGGAGATGATGATATTAAGCAAAAAAGCCATTTTCAGAAAGACTAACATGGTGCTTTATTTGTAGATTCTGTATTGTATATAGAGGCATATGACTATTTTAATATATAACATAATAATGGGAGGGAAATTGGGGAAAGAATGGCGGTGAGGGGAGAGGAGGAGGAGGGGTGATAGGTGAATATGTACAAAATGTATGATATACTTGAAATTGCCTCTGAAACCCATCACTATGTAGAATATATCAAATAAACACTATGAACATATTATATAATTATAATTACTCGCCTATATATTTATGTATGCACACACAGATATTTCTTTGTTTTTGAAGTTTTCTTTCCCCTTTTGATGTATGGAAACTTTGATTCAAATAGACTATGGCCTTCTTGCAGGCATGACACAGCAAATTCTCTTGCTTTCCTGTGGTTTTTGTCTTCGCCGGGGCCTTTTTAATAAAGTGCCAGAACTTAGAATTTTCGCAATTGCCTGCTGATGTCTTTGGTTATTTTGATTCCTTTGGTCATCTTTCTTTCATTGATTACATTGCTCCAAGAAGTTTGCATACATTGAGTCCAAAGGGACCGGTACATCACCTTGTATGTGTGTTGGCTGATGTCGTTTTCAGAGCCGTCTTTGGCTGATGTCTTCAGAGCTGTCTTTGTTCTGCAGTGGATAAATGCTAAATTAGGATCCACGGGTGTATGATGAGACAGAGACAGAGGAAGAGTGTAATCACACAACTGTCTTCCATTCTCCCCGCTCCCAGGGACAGATGGCTTCCTTCATGTGAAAGCCGAACCCAGATTGTCGACTAAGGCCAGATACTAGTAGCCCTGACTTCCTGGAAACTCCCAGAACTTCCTTTTATAGAAACCCACATGATTTCCAGCAGATTCCAGAGAATTCTGCCATTAATTTGGAACTGACCAAGCATTTCATGCTCTATCTATATGATCAAAGAATTTTGTTTATCCAGAAGTTCAAAGACAAAGGACAGCATTTTCTCTTGACGATCTGTAGTCCTTTTTTGTTTTGGCCCAATTAAAAGCAAGCATTTAAGAAGTTTTGTACATATAACCCCAGCATTCAAGGGGTAGAGGAAGGAGAACCCTGAGTTCAAGGTCTGACTGAGATACATAGTAAGGGCCTGTTGCAGACAGACAAACAGACAAACAAGAGATATGTAGTAAGGGCTTGTCACAGACAGACAAACAAGCGTTCTAACAGCTCTCAAGACTGTTTCGTCTTCTGGCTTTGTTGGAACACTGACCCACAACCGAACTGTACACCAGAGGACCACGTCAGCATTGAGATGCTAACTGAGAAGTTACATCTAGGAAATAGTACAGCAGCCTCCATAGCAGCAGCAGAGATTTGGGAAGAAGAGAGCACTTGTGGAAGTCTGATTTTGTTCTTGTAAAAACAGAAGCCCTCACTAAAATATCAGTGATGTAATATGTGATCCAGCCATTGACTGGATATAATGCGACAGAGAGGTGGATGATCTGAGTTGTGCAATCATTATCCGAGTAATTTTAGAGCATTTTGTCACCCCCAGAAAGACAGCCCGTACTCACTGGCAATCAAGCCCATGTCCTCTCCTTAGCCCTTATGGTCTTAGGCAACTATTAGTCTACTCTCTATTTCTTCCTTTTTTTTTTTTTTTTTTTTTTTAATTTTTAAAGACAGGGTTTCTCTGTGGTTTTGGAGCCTGTCCTGGAACTAGCTCTTGTAGACCAGGCTGGTCTCGAACTCACAGAGATCCGCCTGCCTCTGCCTCCCGAGTGCTGGGATTAAAGGCGTGCGCCACCACCGCCCGGCCTCTACTCTCTATTTCTATAGCTGTGCCTGTTCCAAATAGATTTGGTGAACAGAATCACACTACATGTGCTCTTTTGTGATTGGCTTTCGTCACTAGAAATGTTCTTAAAGTTCATTTATATTATAGCGTAGGTTATTGCTTTATTGTTGTTGCTGTTGTTGTTTTGTTTTTGAGACAGGGTTTCTCTGTGTAGCCCTGGTTGTCCTGGCACTAGCTCTATAGACCAAGCTGGCCTCGAACTCACAAAGATCCTCCTGCTTCTGCCTCCCAACTACTGGGACTAAAGGTGTGCATGACCACCACCCAGTATTACTTCCTTTTTTAATTGCTCAATATTTTATAATATAAATCTACCTTCCTTCCTTACTAGTTACTAGGCGTTTGGATCATCTCTGGGACTTGACTGTGTGAATAACGCTGTTAGGGAATTTGTACACAAACGTGTGTGGATGGAAGTCTTCATTGCTTTGGAGTGTATATCTAGAAGTAGAATTGCTAGATCACATGATAGCCGTGTTTAACATTGTGAGGAAATGCCAAACCATTTTCTACGGTGGTGACACCATTTCACATTCTCACCAATGGCATAAGAAGGTTCCATACAAACATATTATCAGGTCATTTAAAAAGCCATCATTCCAGTGACTGTGAACTAACCCATTCATATCACTGTGGAATCAATCATTTTCTTTCTACTGTTACTTATAAAAATTCCCAAATCTTAAACACCTGATTGGTCTAATAAAAAGCTGAACAGCTAATAGCTAGGCAGTAGAGGGATAGGCGAGGCTGACAAGTGCAAAGACAATAAGTAGGAGGAGGAATCTAGGCTTGAGAGAGAAAATATGAGAGAAAGAAAGGGAGATGCCTCGGGCCAACCAGCTAGGTAGCTGCTGGCCAGTCAGACACAGAGGATGCAGTGGAAGTAGGGCATACAGAATTAAAAAAAAAAAAAAAAAGTTAAAAGCCCCAAGGCAAAATGTAGATGAAGAGAAACAGGTTAATTTAAGCTATAAGTGCTAGGTGACTCAACGCCCTCTTCTGGCCTCCACTGGTACTGCATACATATGGTGTACGTACAATATAGTCAAAACACCATACACATAAAATAAAATTAAACTAAAAAAGATGGTTTCCATTTTCACTTATTTTTTGTAAAGCCTAGAGGTTATATAAATGTATAAGTCAGTTTCTATACAAACAATGGCATTAACTGTTTTATATTTTTCTTATGTTGATTGGATACATGTGCTAAAATTTCTCCCTTCATCTATAGTTTGAAAATTTCCCCACAATAAACAAATATTAAATTGTAATGAAAAGTAGCTTATTAAATTGTATCAATGAGTAGAAAAACGGATTTTTTTTTCTCTCACTTGTGATAAATTATTAGAAGGAAAAAAGCAAATTGGGGTGGGAATTCAGACAAAATTACTTTCAAGTTTTGTTCCAGCCTGCAAGACTGTATAAAGATATCGTCAAAACAGACCAGGGAACCGGGTGACAAACTGAGGCATAAGTCATCTTCTCTAGGACCAAAGGGGAACTATTTAAACCAGCTTCAGTGAGACAAGACATCTTGGAAAGGCCCAGACAGAGCTGGTCCTTGCTCCTACGTGTAGCCCTGGTTGTTTCTACTTTGTTCCTGTTGCTGTGAAACTCCCTAGTGCTGGCTCACTGCTCCAACAAACCCTGCCCAACCCCCAGGAACTTCTCAGAACTCCGGCTCCATCAGAGGATTGTGTTCAGAATAAGAGTGGGATTCCAGGGCCAAGTGCCAGTTACTTTGTCCCCCTGCTGCACGTTTGTTTCCCCTGTGCCATATTAATAGTCTGAAATACCTAATAGAACGCGTGGTATCTTATGGGATCCAAAGGCACAGCTCTAGCTGGAACTGAGGATGGAATAGACTCATGCCCTTGGATGCTGGCAGACCCCTGCTCATTTCTCCTCTCCGCATCTGCTGCTTTTTCTCTTGCTGCTCTTAGGCTCCCAAGGTCACAGGCCAGAAATTTGATCTTCAATAGCTCCCAGAGTGTTCACTTGTTAGGTATGGCTGCTTGGAGAAAGACTGGTTCAGCTCAGCCTACTCCCTTTCTCTGTCCCTTCCTTTCCTTCTTCCACTTTCAGATAGTAAGAGAAAGGACTGAATGGCCCATCCTAAGTCACGGGCCCCTTCCTGGAGAATGTGTGGGAGTTTGGACGGGAAGGGATTGTGTTGTCCCACTTCCTTTCTCCTCCTACAACGGTATGGGTGGAGAGGAGAGATGCTCTCCCTCCCTCCTTCCCTCCCTCCATCCTCTCAACCTCTCTCCCTCTCTCTCCCCATCTCTCCCTCTCTTTTTCCCCACCTCTCCCTCTTACCCTCTCTCTCCCTCCCTCTCCCTCTCTCTCTCTCTCTCTCTCTCTCTCTCTCTCTCTCTCTCACCCTCTCCCCCCCACTACAGAGTTACGCACACAGGTATATGCAAAATATATAATCAAGAATAATGATTCAGAAATGCAAATGACAAATCTAAAACAATTTTGCATATAAATAAATCAGCATTTAAATAGCTTGAGAAGTCATTATTGTACAAAATCAGTCTGTAACTGAATAGCCCCCTGATAACTAGAACTCTGTATTCCAAGTGACTTTGTGCAACAAGTCTTAAGGAAGATGGGAAGTTTTAGAGGAAGATAATAATCCTGACTACAGGAGTAGAGGGACTTGCTGTCTAGTGCACAGACCTCATGGAGCTAAAACATAATATTCAATAGTGCTAGATCTTGGTTGGATCTTTACCAGTTCTTCACAAGGAAGTGAAAATTATACCCAATTTCCAGAGTAGAGTAAGAACCATTATATGTGAAAATCCTTTAGTTGAAGGAGTCAAAATGTTACTAAAGAGTTGCATGACATTCCACTTCGGTTATTTTTTTTTTTTTGAGAACCATTACAACAAATTTATTTATTTCTGGTGTGAAAAATAAGAGGGCAAGTATGTCATCGTACTTCAGGAATTTTTGCTGCAAGATCAGACCCCTTGATTGATCACTGATCTATAATTTCTATTATTTCATACTTAGTAGTTGGGATTCTCTGTATTTTTATGAATTATATCAATGGCTTTATTTTCTTAAAAACAATATTCAAATCAAGTATTTTACCTCTCATGGTTATAAAACCACCTTACCATGCATCACAGAATTCAAACTAAATGAAACAGTCATTCAAAGCCCCATTCCCTACACAGCTGTTATAATTTTGTATATAAAAGTGTATTTTATCCCACACTGGAGCACCGGACTGAGCTCCCAATGTCCCAAGGAGGAGCAGAAGGAGGGAGAATATGAGCAAAGAAGTCAGGACCACAAGGTGTGCACCCACCCACAGAGACAGTGGGGCTGATCTATTGGGAGCTCACCAAGGCCAGCTGGACTGTGACTGAAAAAGCATGGGATAAAACCGGACTCTCTGAATATGGCGGACAATGAGGGCTGCTGAGAAGCCAAGGACAATGGCACTGGGTTTTGATCCTACTTCATGTTCTGGCTTTGTGGGAGCCTAGCCAGTTTGGATGTTCACCTTCCTAGACCAGGATGGAGGGGGGAGGACTTTGGACTTTCCACAGGGCAGGGAACCTTGACTGCCCCTCAGACTGGAGAGGGAGGGGGAGAGGAGTGGGGGGAGGGGGAGAGGAGAGGGAGGGGGGGAGGGAAAAGGGAGATGGGGAGGGAAATGGGAGGCGGGGAGGAGGTGGAATTTTTTTTTCAATAAAAAATTATATTACAAAAAAAGGTGTATTTTATGAAATTTTCTGTGGTACTTCTGTTCAATATTGAGCTTACCTTTCTTTCATAATCATAAGGGTTAGCTTAGCAATGTGTAAAAATTGTACAAAAATAATGGATATTTAGTTATTTAGGATCTTAAATTCTCTCTCTCTCTCTCTCTCTCTCTCTCTCTCTCTCTCTCTCTCCCTGTTATAAAAGAAAATATGTCCTTTCCCAGATTGTGTCCATGCAATTTTGAGTGCCCTCTGTACTCATGGTCTTTGACAGAAAATAGCTTCAGATAATCCTTTTTTATGGGGGTGTTGCACCCCATCAGGCAAGCCCATCACTTGTTTTCTAGAAATAGCCCAATAGGAGGGTGCTGCGCTGAATGATATCACAGTGACCCAGTTACCCTTCCCCTCTTTGTAAGTACACAGAGAAGAGGAGATGCTCTACACACCCTACACACCCTTGAGAAGAGAGAAGGGGATGTTTAGAACTCCAAAGCTGAAGGCCCACTAGAGCCATGCCTATATTTAGAACAGGGATGCACTGTGTTTCCAGTTTGGCATGGAGCCAGTGTCAGAGGCCTGGGACTTGGGGTCAGAGTACAGCTTCTGAGATATCCTCCATGCCTGTCTCGCTTCCCTGGGGAAGTAACCTCCATTAACTAATATAGTTTTGTTGTTGTTGTTGTTTTTGTTAATAATTTCTCTGGGACAAATCACCCTAAAGAAGATAAAGGAGTCTAAACATACTTGAATGACTCTAGGTAGACACTGACACATTGTTTGGCAGTACTGTTTCTTAAGATTTTCCTCTGGAGTTTCTGTTTTCTTTAATTCTCAGTATCATCTCTGTTCTTGTTTTTCATCACTCAGGATAGTCTCTTGCTCCATCAAGAACTACTGGTAAGTTGGCATTACTTTACATTTTTTCTCTGTTGAGGCTGGCCAGGTGGTTCAGAGCACTCTGTGCCTTCAGAGGACCCAAGCTCAACTCCTAGACTCTATATCAGGCCCCTTACAACCAGGTCTCATATATGCTCAAGCTGTGCCCAGTATCTCAGTTCACTTCCTGTTGCCTTTGGATCAAGATGGAGAATCTCTGCTCCTTCTCCAGTGTTATGTCTGCCTTGCATGCAGCCATACTCCCAGCTGCCATGCTCCCTGCCATGATGATAATGGACAAAACCTCTGAAACTGTAAGTCAGCCCAATTAAATATTGTCCTTTATAAGAGTTGCAGTGGTTAGGGCTGAAGAGATGGCTCAGTGGATAAGAGCATTGCCTGCTCTTCCAAAGGTCCTGAGTTCAATTCCCAGCATCCACATGGTGGCTCACAACCATCTGTAAGGAGGTCTGGTGCCCTCTTCTGGCCTTCAGGCATACAGACAGAATATTGTATACATAATAAATAAATAAATAAAAGAGTTGGTGGCGCACGCCTTTAATCCCAGCACTTGGGAGGCAGAGGCAGGCGGATCTCTGGGAGTTCGAGACCAGCCTGGTCTACAGAGCTAGTTCCAGGACAGGCTCCAAAGCCACAGAGAAACCCTGTCTCGAAAAACCAAAAAAAAAAAAAGAGTTGCAGTGGTCATGGTGTCTTCATAGCAATAAAATACCGATTACGACACCTACCTCGACAGTCAAGAACCTTTTCTTCCTTTCAAAATTCTTCATTTATTCATCCTCATATAGTACCATTTTTTGTGGAAGGTGATACAGTCACAGGTTTGGGGCACTAGGATGTCGAACAACATGATGGAGTGGGGTCATTATTCTGACTATTACCATGTTGAAAACTAAATTCATGGTGCTCTTCTTTTTTCAAATCGACTTTTCCTTCCAGCTTTTCTATCTCAGTGACATCATCAGGAACCATTTTTCCATTACCGGACATCATCCTAGGATCTTCCCTTTTACTCATTTCCTGCATCAGTCAATCAACCATTTGACCCACTAACCGGTCCCTTCTGATTTCTTCCCTCCAAATGGTGCCTATTCTAGCCAGTGCAGTGGTGCACATCTTTATCCCCAGCACTCAGGAGACAGAGTTCAAAGCCGGCCAACCTCACCTTTGAGGTGAATTCCAGGGCAACCAGAGCTACACAATGAGACCCTGTCTCAAAAAGACAAAAAAGAAACAGAGAAAGAAGAGTCTAGTTAGTTCTGTGGGTGCTGTCAAACCCTGGTTTGTTCCCAGCATCCTCTCTTACTTTTTGACCACTGTGACCTCCCCAGCCAACTTCCTGCCATGGCGGTAGTGTGTCTCAAACATACCATGGTGAAATTTGGAGTCAGAAAGTTTCTGGTTTGTTTTGCCTTTGTTCTTGGTACTGGGCATTGAACCCAGAGTCTCTCACGTGCTAACACTAAGTTATCCCGTCTTCCTTTCACTTTATAGTTTGAGACAGTCGCTAGCTGGGCTTTCCGGTCCTGCAGGGGTTACAGCTTTGATGCTTACCTGCATCACACACTACCAGGGAGGAGATGCAGGCACAGTCAGACCCCAAAGGCTGCGTTTAGGTAGACCTAACTCCTCAACATGGCCCCAAAGTTCATCAGCTCCGCAGCCATGTGAGCCTGGCGCTGTTGGCCTGGTTACTGAGACTAAAGGTACCCTTGGCTTGGAAAAGTTTTTCAGTGTCTCCTGAAACTGGCCTTCTCCAGTGTCCCCCTCACACTGCTCACTGTCATTTCAAACTCACCATCTGCAAAAACATCTTTCTTCGGCTCTACCGTTCTGCCATTAATTCCTCTGTCCATACTCTGCCCTTAGTGACCCACCCAACACACACACACACACACACACACACACACACTCGCACACCGCCATCTACCTAGGCACCGAAACTGACTGGACTTTTCTTGGGGTATTTCTTACCTTTTCCATACAGCTTCCACCATAGCCAGAAAATCCTATTTCACCTCGCCAATCGTGAACAGCCGAATGCCGGGTTGTCTTACTTCATCCTATATTTCACTGCCAAACGGAGTCTGGAACTATTGCTGCAATAAAGTCACGCCCTCTGTCAAAATCCCTCAGTCGCTCCTGGTCCTGTGTCACGTTAACTCCAAGCTTCCCTGTGTGGCCTTAAAGGCCCCTGGTAATTTGACTCGTACCTATCAAGTTTACTTGAGTCTCTGTGGTCCCACCACCTGCCCCAGACACCACGGCTGCCTCCCTGACCTCACTGCCCCTCCCCCCATGGCTTTGCCTTGAGGCCTCTCTGTGGATGCCTGAATATTCCCTTCTGCTATCTCAGACTTGTCCTTTAACCTGGTCGGCCACCTCCTCCCTCATGGCTTGACTCCCTAACGCAACCCTGGGCTCTCGTTTGCCTCAGAACTTACAGCGGACATGGCAGGACACAGGACGTCACTATCTCTTGCTCAGCTAACTCAGAGCCAGATCTGCTTTCTAGTCTCTTGTTTCCATAGGTGAGCAGTGCATTTTCCTTCTTCATTGATTCTTAGGATTAAGAAAGCAGAGACTTATTTTCTAGTTTGGGACTTGTTTACTGACTCAATTCCTTTTAGTATTTCAAGTAATGAAGGTATCGGGATGTTTGGCAGTTCATAGATTTATGTTGATTGGTGTGTAGCTCCTGACAATTGCAAACCAACCCTCCCCAGCTGCTGAGGAGATAGTAAAAATCACTAATGTAAGCTAAATAGGACCGTTCTAAAAGTTGACTCCCTGGCTTCTTTGTCTATCAAATGCTACTACATAAAACTACGCATTTGGGACGGGTAGGCGGGAGCAGAGGACTCAATGACTAGCCCCAGCCTCAGGAAATGTATATACTGGCTACGGGGAGAGTCGCAGAACCATCTAATGGTCTAACAAGAGACCGGGCACAAAAGGAGGCACATGAGAGCGGGGTGAAAGAAAAATAATTCAGATTCGTAGGACACTGAAGAAACAAGCCCCACACTATTTTCCTAACGGTGATGGCACCCCCAAACCGACACGAAGGCAGGCATCTCTACAGCTGGAGCACATGTCCACCCGCCTGAGACATGCTTCCCAGGAGGATTCCTCTCCACAGACTTGTGTGCCAATGTGTGACCCATTTTACAGACATATGTGCCAACGCATGATCGATTTCACAGACATGTGTGCCAACATGTGATTGATTCCACAGACACATGTGCCAATGCATGACCGGTTGACTGGTTTTGACACCTTTGCAATCTGGCCAGTTAAAAGATTTCCAGATCTCGCCAGTGAGAAGAAGCCATATTCATGCAGACCACGATTCTCAGGCCACGACCACCAAGCTGGCTACATGCGCGGACACACGCTCACACACACAACATGCCCAAGTCATTAGCTGTTTGTGCCCTCAACATAAAACAAGGAATTCCCCCAGATGAGTTTTAAATTCCAGAGCAATTACTACATCCAATTTGAAGAGCCAGAAGGAAGGCTCCTTCTGCCAAGTAGCTATTAGTGATGGGATTGCTTCTGCTTCGAAGTCGGTGCTGGATTAACTCCTAAAGTACTCAGTTACTTTTCAGATCATGCCGTGGTGTCTCGTGGCCTAAAGAGAAGCCACCATCTTTGAAACCCAAGGCGGTGGAAGAAAGGAAGGCTATATTTTCTTTTATATCGGAGCCTATTTCTAATGAGCTGGCTCAAAAGTAAGAACATCAAAAGCTTTTTCTCCCCCCTAGACAAAACAGTATTACATATCAAATTTCCTTAAATAGATGAGACATTTAGATCAATGCACTCGTAGCTGTTTGACCATTATAAAGACATAATCTGCATGGAAGCTGCTTATTGGAGGCTCTCGAGTTATGCTTTTGTTGTTGAATTGTTTTCAGAGCCGATGCTGCCTTGACAGTGTGTTTTCACGGGAGAGTGGCAGGAAGCAGAGTCTCTCTTCAGAAGTACTAATGGGAGACAAAGGGGACACTGGTCTGGGTGAAAATCCTGCGGAGCAGGAAGAGACACAGATGTGTGTCTTTTTACTTCTTCCCAGGCCCAAGGCAATCTGAGTCCGTCAGGTGCTCTGAACCATGAGCAAGTTGGAACTGGTCCCGAAAGCCTTCTCAACACAATGCCAGGAGATCACTATTGTCCCATAGGTGACACCTGGGGTCAGACTCACTTGTAACTTCCCACTTAGAAGGAATAAAAACTCAAAAAAAAAAAAAAAACAAAAACAAAAAACAAGAACAAACAAAAAGCAATCTTACCTTCTGAATTTGTCAGTACCCACCAAACTAGGGGAAAGAATCAGAGTTTAGTTCATTAATACTCTGTGGTTCCAGTTTCATGTCCTCCACCCCCCCCCTTTTTTAAAAAAAAAAAAAAACCACAGGATTTCTCTGTGTAACATCCCTGGCTGTCCTGGAACTCCCTGTGTAGACCAGGCTAGTCTCAAACTCATAGAGATCCTCTTGCCTCTGCCCCCCGCCCCCACCCCTCCCCGTGCTACAATTAAAGGCATGTGCCACCACTGCCCTAACATCAGTGGGACCAAAGTCTCATCGTGTCCTCTGACCTTGCTTTTATAGATCAGGAAACTGAGTCAGACTTGTACTGTGTCCTCTCTGCCCTATACTGCCCTTCTCCCGGGCTGGCCTCAGCCTGCACTCAGCAGATCCTTGTGATCCTGATTCTGTCATCTGTGAACTTTGGGACCGACATTTGGATTGCTTTGCACACACACACACACACAAAACGATTCAATAGTAATGTAGCAATTTTATCAATTGGTAAAAATTTAAATACAAAGTATTTCAGGGATTAACTTCGTGCCACAAAAGTACAAAATGATCCTGCGGGCGGCTTCCCCAGGACGTGGCTTGTGCCTTGCACGTGGGATGTGCTATGATCTCCCCAGACATAAGAAATGTAACTGCACAAGCTGTGATAGTCGGGGGCTGCTTTTGTCCTCTCCCTGGTTAAGAGAAAAGAGAGGTGCAGATCTAACATGAGTGGAAAACGCTGGACTAGCTGCCACGAGGATAATACCAGCCCCTCTCAGTTCAAAATACAGCTGGGATTAAGTTGTCTACAACTGCTTCTTAGGAACTTGGTTTCCACGCTCATGTAAATGACCAAGTAAAGGGAAACTCGCACACGTCCGTAATTCTAGCATTTGGAGGTGGAGACAGGAGGATCTGGAGGTGAATCCCAGTCTGTGCTACAGAAGAATTCCAAAGGAGGAAAGCAGGGAGGAGGACAAGGAGCACGAGAGAGAAGAAGGAGGAAGAGGAAAAATGAATGGCATCCTCCCCCCCACCGTTGGCGACCCCTCCCCCCACCCCGCAACCCCCACCCACCATTGGTGCCTTTTAAGGACTCAAAAAACTATTTAGGCTTCTTTTCTGGACCCCTTCAGTAGACAGAGTGCACTTTCCCTCACTTTGACTTTTCATCAGTGGGATTGGGCTAGCCTGGCCTCTCACCTCTTCTCTTTGAGAATGGCCACGTAGATTCACCTGAAAGTGAAAACGCCATCACCACCCACCGGCTACGTAAGTGGGAGATGGTTTTACTTGGTTGCCGTCTTAGTCAGCATTCTATTGCTGTGAAGACACCGTGACCACAGCAACCCTTATAAAGGAAGACATTTAATGGAGTGGTTTACAGTTTCAGAGGTTTAGTCCACTATCGTTCCAGCAGGATATGGCAGCACGCAGGCAGACATGGTGCTGGAGAGGTAACTGAGAGTTGTCCAACCAGATCAGCAGGCAGGGAGAGACAGTGGGTCTGACTTGAACATTTGAAACCTCGAAGCTCACCCCTATTAAAAATCATCTGCTTTCAAATGTTCCCAAGATCTGATACTTGAATGATAATCTCTGAGGCTCCAAACCCATGCATTGATAATTCTTAAAATCCCCTAGGTGTCTGAGAGGTGCAGGCGAGATTAGCACTGCCTTGAAGGGAGAGGAGGAACTGCTTACTGGAGGGTTGCCCCAGTTCTGCTGAATGGAAAGCCACTGCTGACATTCAAAGGGCATCAGGGGCACCCCATTGTCCCCCATGCCCTTCAATACTTCACTGTAAACGTAGCGTGCTCCCGGAGTGGAGCTGTGATAGCAAAGGGGCTGATCTCCACGCTTTGGGAAGCACTGGCTTACAAGAGAAGATTCGTGTATACCTGTTCAGTGCCACGATAGTGCTAATTCAGCCATGGTATTTATATCATAGAAACTGCCAAACACTACAACTCAGAGCTGTTTCTTAAATTTATCAATCGAGTTTCCCGCATTTGGGGAAATCGCAGGGGTCAGCACATCCGGAGTGCAATGGATAAGCCTCGCCCTGGGAAAACCACCTTCGTGATCATGGTATCTCCCCTGCCAGGTAAAGGCAAATTTACCTCTTCTGAGCAGCAGAGAAGTAAAATAATTTTATTCAGAAATCAATAGATAATGTTATAGTACTGGAGAGAACTGAAGTCCCTGGTCTTGGTCAGATCTAAGAGGTGGCATCACATTTGAGTCATGAATGAAGCCAGAGCTTGGTTCTCTCCCTCCTCCGGAGGGAAATAAGGAGAAAGCATAAAACCAAATAATTAACATATGAAGAGTCCGCTGTTGCCATGGTGATCCTGGTAGCACTGCACATATGCGGAAAGGATAGTAAGATTTGACACAAAACGTCTGTGGTGGTTTGAGTGAAATTGGCCCCCATGAGCTCATAGGAAGTGGCACTATTAGGAGGTGTGGCTTTACTGGAGTAGATATGGCCTTGTTGGAGGAAGTGCGTCACTGTGGAGGCTTTGAGGTCTCATATATGCTCAAGCCACGCCCAGGGAGTCAGACCATTTCCTGTAAGGCTTTCAGCTCCTTCTCCAGCACTGTGTGTGCCTGCAGGTCGCCATGTCCCACCATGATGATAATGGACTGAACCTCTGAACTGTAAGCCATCCCAATAAAATGTTTTCCTTTATAAGGATTGTGGTGGTCATGGTGTCTCCTCACGACAATAGAAACCCTAAGTAAGACAACAACACTCCACTTGTCCCTTACAATTTTTGC